ATATATATTATTGTTTTACTTTATTATATATAATGTTGTACATACTCGTAAATGTGGGTATAATAATTGATCTCATGGGATCCAAAATGCATGATGTTGTAATGTACTAATTACACATGGGTGTATCTAGACAGAGGGCAGTGCGACTGATAACAGTGATATACGTGCGTATGTGTAGGTGTATGTATCTGTATCTAAAGTAGTAATATCATCAAACAGGGTTCTTGACACGGATCGATATCATACTACTTTTTGTACAACTTATTAAAACGTCGTTGTAGGCGGTGCATACAGTATTTGATTGACCGATTGAGGGCAGCAAACTCAGCTCCACTTGCTGTAAACCATTTATATCGTAACTCCCAATATCATCGAGCAGGCACTTAGTACTTTACCTCTGGCGGAGTTAGACCTCTTAAAATTTGGTCAGGGGATTTCTTTGCAGTCTTTCTGCCTCGTGAGCTACCTATGCGTTGAAGTTCTTTGTAAACTAGCAAACGCAAACCATTTTATCTCTGGATTTTTATTTAATCGTTTCTTTTATTAAAACAGGTCTAATACGGAAATTGTCGCCACTTGGACTTAAATACATTGGATTTTTAGAAAATGCAGTTGAATCTGGATTGCTACTCGTAGGGATTGCGTTATGTCATCTACATGGAGTTTCGTACGGTAAACACACTTTTTTTTTTCATTTTTTCGCATTAGTTGTAAGTTGCGCTTGACTCGATTGTGGTCATTTCTGTGGACAGTTGCCCTGGAAACGCGATTAGAATTAATTTGTGGTAATCAGTCTAATAATTTTTGATCCGGTTTAATTTTTGTATACGTAGATGTGTATGTGCGGGTCACCATGGATACAACTTTACTGTATATAGACCTGGGTCTATTTTCTATTGTTTTGCTAGTAGTCCATTATCTTCACAGTGTTACCATTAATCAAAATGAGAATGGCAACTATGTGATTGGCGCGCTGCGGCAGGCCATTAATTCATAAATTTGATAAGACAGAGAATTAAATTTTCGCTCATTGCGTTGCACTGTCATTTTATCCTATGACAAAGAGTCTAACATTTAGAGGAAACTTAGAAGGACAGACGATAATTGGTTTTCCTTTGCTACATACACGTATTAATTTTGTATTGTTGTCGATCGCGTATTGGTGACGTTTTGTGTTGCCGTGCATTGCGGAGATGAGCGCTTTCATGTTCAGCGTGTAACGCGTACATGTCATGGACCCAACTTTTTGAAACGTGAATTTCCTCTGAAACTAAGTGGAGAGAAGAAATAAATATCAACGGAAAGTGTTTGTGTACTGTGAATTGTTTGCTTTAAAAGTTCAAACACATTCCGATGTGTGCGTCGACGGTAGTTTGCGTGGATAGGATCCGAGTTCTATTATAGCCCATTGTTTGTCCAAGTTCTAATACTATTTTGGTATTTAAGTTAAACACTTTCAGTGGTATGCATCTTTAAGTATACGCGTTGATTCAAAATACTGTAATTACTTTGTTTATAGCTGCTATTTCCTTTCTTACCAAATTTTATCCAAAGTTATTGTAACAATTCACACAATGACATCCGACGAAATGTGAGAGAATTTGATTAAAACTTTAAGTAATCCAACTTTAACTTCAAACACAATCAAATCACAACAAAGCAAATGTTAACATTAATTCAAGGCCAATGAATAAATATATTCTATCGACAAGTAACTACTAATTCCCTAAGCATTCGTTCTTATTACTTTCTCCTTTATTTTCCCTTTTGAAATTCCGACGAATGTGTATTTTGACTCGATCCGATTCATATCATGACTGTTTGCCTGCGTTTTTGTTTACACATGCCCACGCGTTGGCGTGTGACTACAAAAAGGGTGGAGGTGTACAATTTCACAGTATTTTAACATTCAGGCCTAATTATTAGCACGAACTTAAGTTTTATCTACTTTACTGTACTTTAAACAGTTGGAGTTTATCTGTCATTGGTATGCGTATCGGTAAACCACAACGCTACCTAATCGCATATCATTCAGTTAACATGCGGATTATATTACTTTAGGTAGGTGGGTTAAAAATCCACCAGTTAATATGAATTATTACCGTACTAATTATTGAGAGCCTGAGAAGGCGAGATTGACTTCCAATTACTTCGTAATTTTGGGTTTTAATAATAAAAAAAAAACATTTATTTTGTATATGATTTTACTCTTTTAATAATAATAATAGATATATAAATTTATGTAGCGCAAATAAAAGGGGTCTCTGTGCGCTCGACAAAGAAGACAGCGAAAAATAAGTAAAACAAGAAAAAAAATATACCATTTACATTTAAAGAGTAATATATAGGCATATATATATATTTATATTAAACCCATACTGTATAGAGAGCAGCTTAGCTCAGTCGGCTAGTGGTAGCCACTGTGTGTGCGCTGAACCGTGGAGATCTCTAGTTCCCCGGTCCAATTCTCATCGCTGCCTCTCCTTGTGTTTCAGCTGGAGGACTGAAGTACAAGTTACCATAGCGCACCGTCTTTCGGATGAGACGTTTAGCCGTTGATCCCGTGTGCATCCAAGCCACAACCGATGCCCATGTGCACGTTAAAGAACGCTGTACACTCTTCGGAAAAGAGTAGGGGATTGTCTCCCGGTGTAATAATAATAATTGTCGACTTATAGCGCATATTGTAGACTAAGCTCCATGCGCTTTACATTATTACCCCTGGTCACTGGATCAAACACATGGAACAACACTCATGCCCCATAATGTTGTAGCTGTAATCAGCGCATGGTTGTGTTTGAACCTACCAGGTACCCACTTGTACTCCTGGGATGAGAGAGACAACTGTAGATAAAGTGCCGTGCCTAAGGACACAAGCGACTTGCACCGCGAGAGTTTCGAATCTCCGACCTCAAGGTTGGGAATCCATGCGCCAAACACTTCTAAAAGTGGTGGGTGTTCTGCCCAATCACCACCAGAATGGAAATAAGTCTTCCTCCAGACTTTCGTGGGCTATCCTTGGTGTTTACACCGAATAAATCCAATCCAGTCTAATCCAATCCAATAATATACGGTATCATTTAGTATATAATAGAAATATAGACCTTATATGTAATACATATAGGATAGGATTATAGGCCTATATACTGGTATATAATACTATTTATACTGTACAGTAGGCCTCTCTCTCTCTCTCTCTCTATATATATATATATATATATAT